ACGTCATGTCGGGGGAATGTGAATCTGGAGTCGCTTCAAGTCCTTGGAAAAAATAACCTCACCTCCAAAAGAGCCGGATCTGAGAGCGTGCGAGCAGAAGATCAGACACTAAACAAACAAAAACACTGATTTGATTTTCAGTGGGAAGGAACGTGCTTGTTCCTGGGATTTGTTTCTGAAACCAGTGGTGCTGCTGGAGAACATCTGGACGTCAGAGGAAACACCTGAGGGACGAAGACCTCGGAAGGCCGCTCGTATGGATCGAGGGCCAACAGGTCAGAGCAGATGATTTTTATACCAGCTGCTGAAACATGTCAGCACCTGCGGAAAGGAAAAATAAAACAAAAACATGAAGCAAATTAATATTTATTAACTGTTTAAAATAAAGGCTGAATCAAACGTGTGTTGATCAAACCATGAGCCTTTGAATCTGAATAAACTGTTAAAGTTTGAACAGCCCTCTTGTGTATTTGGCAGTGGAAATTTTAGTCTCTTTTTGGGGGTGCTCAAGCACCCATAAATTTTAACTCAGCACCCCTGAAACATGAAGAAACCACCATTAGGATTCCGTAAAGAACCTCAGTTCTCAAACCTCAGAGTCACCAAAACAACGAATAAATTTGGAATAAAAATGAAATAAATATGACACTTTTAAACGGGCCAGTAAAATCTATGATTTATTTTTTTGCATGCGCCAGATCCTCGACTCATTTAGTGTTTAGTAGGTTTCGTAATGAAAAGCGGAGCGCTATCTTAGCTAGCACATCTGTATTAGCTTAGCGCTACTACTTGTCTAAAAGTTATGGCATCAAGTGTTTACTTATGTAGGTCAACATCCAGAATGCAGGAAATTATATCTACTTTATTCATAATTTTATGGGGGAGGACCCCCAGACCCCCCACCAGTGTGTCCCCCCACGTTATAAATGCTTCTGACGGCAATGGCCACGGCATTGTTCAAGACAAGAGCCAAGGGGGGCCAAGCACCCCTAAAGGTCAGATTCTAGAATCGCCCCTGGTATTTGGTAAGCACTCAGACTGTGTGTTAAGGATGACTCTCAGCTACTACCACATTATATTCAACCATCTTGTGTTTGCTAAGATTAATTAACTGCTGCAGCTACACTCCAAAAGCTAATGGATTAAAGGCGTGCGCTCAGGTCTATAAAGGGCCCGTCTCACTGGGACAGTTTTCATGAGTCCCCTGAATGACTTGAGACATTTGCAGGGTTCTCAGCTGCTTCACGAGAGTCACAGAGGTGCTCAGTCCTGCCACGCGAGTTCTGGACGTGTTAAAAAAATCATATGTGCAATAATTTTTGTCTCTGATTACTTTTTTCTGGTTAAATAAAACTTAAAAAAAAAAAAAAATTAAATATAGGGCTGATGTGGACACACAAAAAAAAGTGAAAACTGTTATACAATCCGTGATTTTATTTATTTTTTACTGGATGGTCAAAACACGGCTACGTGACTTGATGATCACTTGACGGCAAACAGACATCAGTGGGACTGCAGCTAGTCTGTTAACAGTAGCAGCTCAGTGAGATGTTGCATTAATGTTGCTGATGAGTGCCACCACTGTCGTATCATCTGCCAGTTTAATGAGCAGATTTGAATTTAGCAGAACGGTTAAAAGTCAGCAGGATGAAACATGAAGGACTGAGTACACATCCCTGAGGAACCCCCTTTCGCAACATGGAGGAGTGCTGTTCTACTACATTTACAGTGAAGAATGCAATCAAATCTTGGACTTTTGTTTAATTTATTTATGTTTCACTATTTATTTGTCTTTAAATCGATTTACTTTAAGGACATTTTTTATTGTTTTTATCGTCATTATATTTTTTTGAATTGAGCTATTTAATCATATATGACTTGGACAGAAAACATCAAGATTAAAATGTTAATTAGTTGTTTGTTTCAATATATTTAAAATATAGTAATGAAGCTCATCTGGGGACAACAATGACAGAAGTTTCAGTTTGGATGAGTAATCTGGTTTGTGAAGCCTGTGCACTGTTCCTGTTTGCTGCAGGACCAGAAGTTGTAAAAGTCCACAGCGTGACCTCATGTCCTCGTTTCAAAATGTTTTCACAGCTTGATCTGAACGGTGTGGACTTGTTTTATGTCTCGTGTGTTCCTGTAAAACTCTGCAGGTCACTAGCAGACATGGGGTCACACAAGATTAATGGTCTGATTTAGATTTAAAGAGCAGCCAGACTGATTTTTTAAATCAAGTCGAGACCCAGAGCCAGGATTTTAATCCTGACTGCCTCAAAGAGCTGCACACTCAACGCAACTTGCCAGCATTAAAAACCAGATTTACTCTGTGGTCTGTGCTTTTAAACTGAAGAGGAATGCTTTGATCTGAGGAGCTTCAGTTTAAACTTTTCATTCACTTCTTCTCACACACACACGCCGCGTGTCGCACACGTGCAACCAAACGGCTGCCGATTCAAAATGACGACAACGATCGAGGGTTTTACTGAACTTGAATCAGTCTGTCATTGTGATGGAGTCAGTTCTGAGCAGCTCCTGGTATGTAGTGGAGGGTCCAAGTGGTCCAAGGCCAACCCCCCCACCACCACCACCACCAGAAATACAAGACTGTTCCAAAGACTTCTTCAGACCAGAAAAAGTTGCTCAGATCTGAGACCAAACACCATCCAAGAAACAAAGTTGACTTCTTCAAGAAGAAGCAGCAGATGTTAAGGTTCCTTTACATTTTAAAGATTTCCCTGTTTTTCTAGTCTTCACTCATGAACAGTTCAGTTTATTGTCAGGACATGATTTGACTTTAGGTACAGCCGCTGTAAGTTTAACCATTTTGTTAAATTTCACAGTGTCAAACTCGAGGCCCGTGGGCCAAACATGGCCCTCGTTGACGTTTTGTCTGGCCGCCACGTGAAACACTTTTTATCGCTTGAATTTTTGTCAGTAATCTTTGATTATGATGTCAAAATCACAACCGAGAACGTCAAATGAGACCCATGAGGACCCTCCAACCAAGAAAACTGAAAAGAGTTTTAATTTTGGCAAACTGTTAAAGTGAGCTTGACACCCCTAAAACTTAAAGTGCTTTTAAAACTTAACTGACAAAGTGTATTACAATGTATTTTTATGTTGTTTGAGCCATTTAAAAGATTAATTTTTATAGAAAATGGGAAAGCAAATTTTATTAAACAAACTATTTTTATTGTTTAGTGACGGAAAGAATGGGATCACAAATACAGGCGGTTGAAATGTTCCTCCTCAGGTCCCTTGGAGACATGGTGAGAACAATGGTGTAGTCTACATTTTTCTAGTGGGTATACTTTGTATATCCGTGTATCTCATAGACTACATCAGTTGTCAGTTGAGGAGGTTCGGGCATGTCTGACTGGGAGGAGACGCAGGTGTAGACCCAGGACATGCTGGTTGGCCTGGGAACGCCATGGAGTCCTCCCAGAAGAGCTGGAAGAGAGATGTGGAGAGATGTCTGGACCTCCCTGCTCAACATGCTGTCTCCCAGACCTGACTGGAATTATCAGAAGATAATGGATGGATTTTTATTGTTTTATAACGTTTTCCATGCTGAAGTAATAAAGTATAATTATTAAAGCATTACAGAAAAATAAGTATACATGAAAATATAATGTTAATACATAAAGCGATTTAATACAAAACGAGTGGCCCGTACGGGGATCGAACCCGCGACCTTGGCGTTATTAGCACCACGCTCTAACCAACTGAGCTAACCGGCCAACTGCTGCACAATGACGACATACATAACTTATAAAGGGAAAAGAAAAAAAAAGTTAAAAAATAAAAATAAAGTTTAGATATAGAAATATATGACTTAATAAAATCTATTCTAGATATAAATATATAGATTTTTGCTGCTTTATCGTTTGCAGATTTCCAAAATACGGTTAATTTATTGTTTTGTTCAGTGAACGTGTTGATCCTCACATCGGTCATGGCGGACACTGCGACTCCAAACAAATACAAAATGAAATAAAAAAACGGGACTTCTATTAGTTAAAGAAGCTTCTCTTCACAACCAGTGACGTTTGGAGAAGAAACGTCTTGAACCATAAAGACCTGATATCTGTGCTTGAACTGAGGTCCATTTCCGGTCTCGTGCTTATATTTGCCAACTACGGAAACTGAAAGAGGACATTCTTATCAAAACATTTTTTTCTCCAGATTAGAAACAAACAAAAAACTGGAATTATTTCTGCAGTTCAAAGATTATAATTTAGCCAAGTATTAAAAGTAGTGCAATGGCAGCTACAAGCTAAACGTAGCATAAAAGCAGCTACAAGCTAAAAATAGCACAAACAGCTTCAAAGCTAAAGTCATCACAAAGGTAGCTAAAAGTAGCAAAACAGCAGCTTGAAGCTAAAGATGAGCAGCCAAATGTTCAAACCAGCAGCTAAATGTCACCTTAAACAAGCATAATAGCAGCTAAAAGCAGCTGTGGATGTAGAGAAACCCACAGCAGCAGAAGCAGGATCGGCTCTTCACAGATCACTTTTGGCACGTTTAAATTTAGCTTTGTTTAAATTTGGAGGCGATCAGACGAAGCGAACAGCTGAAGCTGATTTAAAACAGGTCTCAACACGAGCTGAAGTCTGCATGTGTTTCTGGAATGGGTCTAAAAATAGAACAAATAAATAAAAACACCCACCACCAAATACAAAAATCCCTGTTAAGAGTCTGACGGCTGAAGGCAGAACAATTCGTTACCAAAACAAACATCATCTGTAAAAAAAGGCTGAAAGTTGGAGAAAACATCTCGTTCGATTCGACACTAAATCACATCAAACGTCTAAACTTTAGCTTCAGTTCATCAGACTCGGCTTCAAGCAGGAGAAACCAAAAACACGTTTCCTGTGCAGCAGCCGGCAGCCAGATGGACTCACACCAAGTCTTCATCAAATCAGGCGAAGATGCGCTCGTCTAAATAAAGAGCACGTCTGTGGCCGAGGTCTGAGCAAGAGGCAAAGGAAACGTTTACAAACAAACTCCTTTATTCACAAATTAAAAACTCTCAAACTCGAGGTCTGATCAAACTGTACATGTTTATTACGACAAAAACAAAAACATCTAATTTACACGTCGGGTGCAGAGATCGTCGTCCACGGAGGCCGGGAGAGTTCACGCAGGGCGGTCCGGTCCGGCTTCAGTTCTCGAGGAAAGCCACGTAGTCGGTGAGTCGGGTCAGCTGCTGCTCGTTGGGAACCAGCGCCACCGGAGGAGGATCTGAGGAGCAGCAGGAGAAGGAGCCGAGTCAGAGGGGACTCCTCGTTTAGACCAGAGACATCAACTGTGTCTGATCCTGGTGACCATCTGAGCATTCTGCAGCTAAAGGAGCTAAAAGTAACCACAACATCAACGCCCTCGCCTGCTTCGCCTATTAAAGAGCAAAAACCGTTAAAACAGCAGCTCAGTCGAGAGAAACCAACGTTCTGACCCGTTTCAACCCTGACGTTCTGAACTCTGAGGCGCTGCAGGGAAAACAGAAACCGTGATGGAAACGGAGGAATAACAGCCGAATAGTAGCTGAACTGTGTGAAATCTGACTGCTGTCGTTAGCTGAAGCTGAGCTGTAAAACGAGCAGAGGACTGAAGTTAAGCTAAAAGCTAAAGGTAGCTAACTTGTAACTAAACGCAGCAAGACAGTAGCTACAAGCTAAAAGGAACATGATGGTAGCTAAAATTACCTAAACTTGGCCAACAGCTAAAAGGAATGAAATGATAGCTAAATGCCAACATTAGCGAAACTTTAGCCAAAACCCAAAAGTATCAGATCACTAGCTAAAAAGGTAAAAGTAACAAAGTGATAATTCATAATCAAATGTAGCTACATGGTAGCTAAAAGCTAATCATAGCAATAGTGTTGCTAAAAGAAACGGGATAGCTGAAATCTAAAAGTATTAAAGTCATAGCTACACTGTATCAAAAAGCTAAAAGGAACAGGACAGTAGCTAAAATTTGAAAAATGCAGCCAAAATCTAAAAGGTGAGGAATGACAGCTAAATACTAAAAGCAGCCGAACGGCAGCTAAAAATCGAAAGACGCAAATTTGTAGCTAAACGCAGCAAAACGGTAGCTAAAACAGAGCCGGTAGCTGAAGCAGATTTTATAGAGAACAAAGTTTTTAAAGAACTGAAGAGACGTCGATGGACGGCTACGAAGAATTCGACCTTAAATGAAGTTAAATATCCTGAAAGGGACAGAAGTCGTTCGACCACCTCCACACAGCGAGCGTTTTAAGGACCTTCTCTAATCAAACTGAAATGTTTAAAAAGTTTGAACAAATCAAACATCTGGAGGAAGACGTGCAACTTTTCTGTGGGAGCGTGACGCTCTGAGCATGAACGGGCAGCTCCGCCCCCTACCTGGCTTCTTGGGCATCACCATCCTGGTAGTGGGATCAGCCTGCCAGCCTTGACTCACGACTCCTTCAAACCACAGAAAACACCGTCAGCAGCGAGTTCATCCAGAGTTACACCGACTACACGCAGCCTCACCCTTCACAGCTTCATCCACCGAGTAACCCACGAAGGCAGCGAAGTCTTCGGCTGTGATGGACGTGTAGGCCTGAGCCACCAGACTGTAGGCCCTCTGCCGCGTGCTCTCTGTAAACAAACAAACAACCGTCAGCCAGGTGCACGTGGAGTACAGGTGAGGTCAATCTGACCAATCCTGCACAAACAGGAAGAGTTTGAATTCATCAGGTGGACACTGCTGCTGAAGGAGACGGAGCTGCCCTGATCATCGGTGGTCTGCTCCGGACCGTTCTGGTCTCCTGTTTGACGAGTCCTCTGAGCCCAAAGAAACCAGCAGAACCACAGAAAACTCCTTCAGGAGCTGCCCGGGGGGGTCAACTCAAACTCCATCCTGAGCAGTCGGCTGCCATCGTTTTCCTCAATTCTTAATTTTTCTGCCTATTTTAGAAATCTTATGACCGGATTTTTCGCCGTACAAGTCGCACCTTTTTGCATAAATTTGCACGTCCTGCGACTTATACACTTATACACCGAAGCGACTAATTGTGTTTTTTCCATATTTATAATTTTGTCTGAGATCTGACGATTTCATTCATTCTGACATGAAAAATATTGAACACTACCATTTTCAGCCACTAGAGGGCCCTCGACTAATATGGCAAGTCAAGTGTCTCATTAATAGGTAAAAGTGGCTATTAGTGAGACACTTGGCTTGCCATACAAGCCACCTTCGGCTCGTTCCACAACTCCTGGAGCAAACGTCAAATCAGCTGCATTTCGCCGCCCAGGAGAAATGCAGCTGATTTGACCATTAAAGTGCATTTATAGGTAAAGTTCAACTGAAACACACCTTTACTATAATTTCGAGCAAACAAATAATTGTTTTTAAATGTTAATTTTGTTAAATTTTTGTTAAAGTCCTCCCGCGGCCGCCATCTGGCAGCCAATCGGTTTTTGGCCCATGTTTCCAGGTGGTCAGTGGTGACGCATTATAGAGGCAACTTATTTATGGTTTTTCCACTTTATTATACGTTTTTAGACTGATGCGACTTATACGGTGGAAAGTACGGTACTTTCCCCTTTTATAATACATCCAAATCAAATTCAGTTAAAAAATGTTATAGTTCTGCTTCAGCAAACTTCTGCTAATTCTGAGACCGTTAGCTCATTCCACGACTGCCAGTTCTGTTAATGCTAATAATGCTAATGCTACAACAGTTAATGCTAATAATGCTAATGCTACAACAGTTAATGCTAATAATGCTAATGCTAGTTTATTATAAACACAGGACTTGTATTCTTCTTTTAAACAACTTTTAGAATTGAGAGTCTCCCAGATGGGAAGAAAACGTCTTCAAAAACACAAGTCCAGCTTTTATTATCATCATCATCATCATTTCTACTATAGTTGTTGCTAATTATTGCCACTTCTTGAAACATTACTGCTTGCTAATTTTAAAAATGCAAACTTGTGTTAAATGTTTAAGTTCAGTTTAACTAGCTCTTTGCACCTTCAAGATTTTGGCCGTCCTTTTACTAATCACTCAGCTAGCTTTTTGCTACTTTTACTTTTTGCTTTTTAAGTTAATTTGCTACTCGTAGGTTTCAATCCTTTTAATTAGCATTTTGCAACTTTTGGCAATTTTTTGCCATTTTTAGCTAGTTTGGCTACTTTTAGTTCTCAAGTGATGTAAGGGAATTTAATTGATCCATACATCAACGTACACTGAGCTACATGGTCTTCCAGCACCCACAGGATTAATCCTCCTGCTGTCCTCGGGGATCATTTTGACCTCAGGGCAGCAGCAGGGTCAAAACTATGTTTTGGCTGGTGAAGCAGAAGCTGCTCTTCTTTGAACAGAACTAAACAAACAGATCTGTCTCAGGACTCTTGGCTCCAGGAACTTGTCCTCAATCTTTGTAGTTCTTTTCAAAACAAATTTAAAAAATAAAACCAAAGCTACTCGACACCCAGTTCCAGCTATGGTGTCCTTCGTTGTTGTTGATGGTAAACGTATCGAACAAACGAGACACGGCCCAGCTCGACGGAGTTCACGGGGCAGGGTGAAAGCAAACACCAATACCTGCTCTGTGGTGGGACTAACGATCTAACTGTTCTCAGAGGGTCCTTAAAACTGTTCGGTCCAATTGCACCCAATGTCATGAATTATTCAATAAGCAGGAGCACCTGCAACTGATGGTGGAAATCTAAGTGAGTAACTGGCGTGTGGTTTGTGTGAACTTTAAGATCTTCTTGCAAAAACCCCACAATTCAAAAGGTTCTACTGATTCAAAGCGTCAGTAATGAAAAGAGGACGGAGGGAGTCCATCTCTGCTCTTTGCAGATGATGTGGTCCTGTTGGCGTCATCGTGCCGTGATCTTCAGCTCTCACTGGAACGGTTCACAGCTGAGAGTGACGCGACTGGGATGAGAATCAGCACCTCCAAATCTGAGGCCGTGGTCCTCAGTCAGAGGGTGGCTTGCTCTTGAGGTGCCTCAAGTGGATGAGTTCAAGTATCTCAGGGTTTTGTTAATAAGTGAGGGAAGAATGGAGCGTGAGATTGACAGGCAGATCGGTGCAGTGTCTGCAGTATTGCGGACTCTGTACCGGTCCGTTGTGGTGAAGAGGGAGCTGAGCTGTAAGACAAAGCTCTCTGTTCAACGTTCGGTCTACGTTCCTACCCTCACCTCTGGTCACGAGCTCTGGTCAGTGACTGAAAGAATGAGATCGTAGATACAGGAGGTTGAAATGAGTTTCCTCTTCAGGGTAGATGGACTCTCCATTAGAAATAGGGAGAGAAGTTCAGTTATCCAGGAGAGACTCGAGTAGAACCGCTGCTCCTCCACATCGAGAGGAGCCAGTTGAGGTGCTTCGAGCATGTCAGACTGGGAGGAGACCCCCGGGGAAGAGCCAGGACACGCTGGAGAGACTATGTCTCTCGGTTGAACTGGGAACACCTTGGAGTCCTCCCAGAAGAAGTGGCTGTGGAAAGAGATGTCTGGACCTCCCTGCTCAAGATGCTGCCCCCGCGAGACCGGACTTCAGAACAAGAGGAAGATGATGGACGGATGTAATGAAAAGAGTCGTAAAGACGTTGAAATCCGAGTTTCTGCTTCTCTGTGGTGCTTCGACCGATGTATAATCCAGTAAGGCCTCTGGAATCTGCGTCTGCTTCTCCAAAGAGTGCATGACTGTGACGAACTTTCCACCATCCAGGATCCTGAACAGAAGCAGATGCTTCAGATTTCTGACGGTGGGGGTTTATCAGCCGGTGCTGGCCTCGGCCTCCGAGCTGTCCTCTTTATCGGTCAAACGCTGAGATTACTGAGCGACGGGGCCTCACACCAACACGCGCTGACATGCACTTGCTGCTGCGATCACAGAAACGTCCCAGGGTTACGTCCTTTCGGGCTTTATAACCTAGCAACTGGTGATTGTGTACCAACAGTCTGCTGGAGCGGTTAGCCGGGGCAACAATAACATTTGAGAGGAGACGAGACAGCTGTGAGGGGGAAGGCCAGAGATCCACGGGAGCATTTTCCAAGAGTAGCTTCCTGTTCTTAGAGTTCATCCAAAAAGACAAACAGGCTGAAGATAACTTGAAAACCAGAATTTACTAAACTTTAGATACGAAACTAAAACCAGGTTTTTGTTGAGAACGTGACTGAAGGAGGAGTGTTTGATGTTTTTCTAATTAGACATGGATAACTTAAAGAGCTATAAATAAACCACGCAGCGAGTGTTCCTGACCCTGAGAAGCAGGTCATTTTGAGGGGGTTTTTGTGACTCACACCCCTGAAGTATTTTTACCACGGCCTTTGGACCGAAAACTCCTGCAGCAACTGGACTGTCCTTTCTGAGCGCGGCCCTCTGACACCTCGGTGTGCTGAGCAAGATATCCATGAGTGGGAGTATTATGGAGCAGAAACAGGACCCGGCCTGTCCTTCCTGCACCGTCTATTCCTGGGTCGCTCTCATTTCGCGCCCTCTCACCTCTCTAAAAATAGCCCCGTCTTTTCACCAGCAAAGGCAACGCTCACGGGACGGGGCAGGGGCTTTTTTTAAAACACGGTCAACGGACGAGTCGGCGAAGCCAACGGTCCGGCTAACGTTTCAGGGGAAGTACACCGAACCACGCTTCAAAATAATGACCACAGAAATCATCACGTCTGAATCAGGAACCAAACGGGGGATTAACTTCATGCAACTTTATTTCAAGTATCAGTAAAGGCAGAAACAGGTAAATAACAAAAAGAACATAAATATTTCCATAAACTACGCACGTAGAACATTAAAACTAAACTCTGAACTGACTTTAAAATACAAAAGTATAAAAAGAAGACGAGAAGAACGACATTGAATATTGCACTGGTAGTTTCCACCCTGACTTGAACACGATTCGAACTCCGCGACCAGTTCTTAAATTACTCTTCCTCCTCCTCTGCGTCCTCAAACTCATCGTCGGCACCGCCGGATCCAAAGTCCATTTTTGCGAGGACCGCTTCGACGTGTTCTGTCGACAGTGTGAAGTGGTCCATCTTCTCGAAGCCCGGCTCGGGCCGCTCTTCGCCCAGCGAGGCCTTGGCTGCGTCTTTGGTCTTCGTGATGAGGCCCTTCGAAGCCAACAGGAACTCGGCGGCGCCGTTCTGCTCCAGAGCCCTCACGGCCGTGTCCGTCAGCTCGGTGCTGGCCTGCAGCCGCTCGCCGTACCGCTGGGCCAGGGCCCGCAGCGCCGCCACCTTCTCGTCCTGCTCCTTCCCGATCTGGTCGAGCAGGATGGCCTTGCGCTCTTCGAGGATGGCGTACAGGAGGTCGAAGCGCTCGGCTAGCCCTTGTTTAGCTCGCTGAGCGTTTTCCTGCACGGTGCGGCAGGAGTCCTCCATCTGGGTCAGCAGGACCTGCAAACGGCTGTTGCTGGCAACCAGAGTGTCAATGGCATTGCTCAGTTCACCTTTCTGGGTCTGGTAGATGGTTGCTAAAGGTGCCACCTCACAGTCTTTATGCTGGCCGAACACCTTGCACATGGAGCAGGTGGGCGCCTGGCAGGTCACGCAGTAGATGTTGATTCTCTCGTCCTCGTGTTCTTGGCACATGGGCTCTTTGGACTCTTTGGGCTTCAGGGTTTCTGTGCTGTCACCTTTACCTTCCTGCTGCTGCTTGTAGAGGTCGATGATGTTCTCCACCAGCAGGTTGCGCTGGAGGCCGTGGACGCCGTGCCGGTCGAGGACGACCTCAAAGCGACAGGTGGGGCAGCGGAAGACGCCGCCGGAGAAGCGGTACGGGTTGCGCGAGTCGTAGAGGTCGCTGGCGCAGCTGCGGCACAGGTTGTGCTGGCAGGGCAGGATCACCACGGGCTTGGTGAACATGTCCAGGCAGATGGGGCAACTCAGCTGCTTCTCAAGGCTGTCCATGGGGCTGGGGGGTCGAACCAGGGATCCTGTCCTCTGCACGTCCATGATGAAAAGGTCTGTCCTTAAACTATCAAATCTCAAAAAGAGGAACCTCAAAGTATTTTCTAATGGAGAGCAGAGGAGTCCTCCTCGATGTGAAGCGGTCTGATCTATTCTGGTCCTGAGCTCAGAGCTCTGGTTTTTATACGAGTCCTCACAGCTGGTGACACCCAATCCTCTTCCACCAACGAGACCAAACATTCCTGTCCGCCTGACCCGGCCCGCAAACTTTTCACAGAAACGCTCCCCACCCTCCCGGTTGTTGCCTCCGTCACGTGTCCCAGTGGACACCGCGGTCCTTTGAGCTGGGACAGAAACCGTGGTCTGATCTGAGACAAACAGGCACAGGCCGGCATGTGACGGGCCCTGAGGAACACCGGGAGGGAGGCGCGCAGCCTCACCGATAAACAAGTCAACACCACATCGTTCATTTTCCATCCAGGAACTCATTTCATCATGTTCTCTCAAATGTATCATTTAGATCTTCTCTAAACTCCTTTAAATACATTTATAATCATCATTCCTCAGCCCTGGTTTTTTTTATACCATTTTATTTTATTTATTCTGTTCAATTTCCAGGCTTTATTTTATGATTTCTACTGTTGTCATCACTCCTTGTTAAAAATTCAGGTCTCTCTTGAAGACGAGTCCCCGAGGCTCAATGAGACTAACCTGTAGAACTAAAGGTTGAATGAATTAAATCAAGATGGTCGCCACAGCTAAGAGACCTTAACGAACACAAAGATGACTCGGACTGAGTTCACACTGCAGACTAAAGTGACCCAAGTCTGATTTTTATGTTTTGGAAGCGTGGAGTGTGATGGAGGTCACATTTAAATCATCTGAGCGGCCACACAGAAACATCAGATCTTCAAGACCTGCACGGTGAACTCGAGCTCTGTCAGTTTTAGAGATGTGCAGGTAAAACTAGGTGGTAGCAGATGAGAGTCATCCCCATAAGATGCTCTGAGGGCTCTCACATCTCAGGAGATACAAGGTTGATTTATGAGCCCTTCAACCACTGCGGGGCTTTAAATGTTGATTCTGAAGCAGTTTATGGTTTTTATCTGTGAACGGCGCCGTTTAACTAAACCTTCATTACGTGTCGGTCACGGACTGATGTTTCTATTTAAAGTGCGTGAATTACAAAACAGGAAGCCTGAATTACATCAGATCACATCCAAAATAAACCTGCTGACTTTCTCCGTTCACTCCGAGATGACCTTTGGTGGGAGTTGGCTCCTCGTGGATAAACTGAGTTTTCCTCGTCAGCTTAGTTTCTAACATTTGTCTTTTTTTTTATTTTTAATTAACAAAAAATGATCCACTGCAGCTTTAATTATGTAGCTTTTGAAAATAAATTTTAAATCTCAAAAGGAGCTTCTTCTATTTGGAACAACAGACCTTTTTGAGAAACAATCCCTTCAGCTATAAAAACAAGTCTAAAACGCTGAAGAGTTATAATAACATTTTTTTATGATATTCAAATGTTGCTATTATATTTAAGCTGCAATGCATTCTGGGTAAATAACGTAAACTGGTTGCTCCAGCATGAGCGCCTTTCAGCTTGAATGTTAATTTTAGACATTCTCTGACGTTCAGCCCTTTAATTTAAACCAGAGCGTTTTACTGAGAGCAGAACGGAGAAGTAATTCAGCTTTCATGTTAGCTCCAGAGAGAACACTGAATATATTATCTCGGGACGGGGTAAACGCTTTTAGCTTCAGTTAACGCTGTCAGCTCCAGAGCTAACATTGAGTAGGTTAGCTCGGAGTTAACGCTGCTAGCTTTAGTTAACATTGAATATATTAGCTCGGAGCTAACACTGTTAGCTTTAGTTAACATCGAATATGTTAGCTTGAAGTTAATGCTGTTAGCTCCAGAGCTAACATCAAGTATGTTACCTCAGACCTAACACTGTTAGCTTTAGTTAACATCGAATATGTTAGCTTGAAGTTAATGCTGTTAGCTCCAGAGCTAACATCGAATATATTAGCTCGGAGTTAACGCTGCTAGCTTTAGTTAACATCGAATATATTAGCTCGGAGTTAACGCTGTTAGCTTCTGAATTAACATAGAATTGTAAATGAGTCTTCAAGGCTCAATGTGATTTACCTGTCTAAATAAAGGTTGAATGAATGAAGATATTAGCTCGGAGCTAACGCTGTTAGCTCCAGAGCTAACATCGAATATATTAGCTCAGAGCTAACGCTGTTAGCTATAGAGCCAAAAATTAACACAAGTTGATCATGTTTGGTTGTTTCAGACCATATTTTGTGCATAAGGACTGACAAAATATAACTTTATTATCATGTTGTAATGTTTTACTCTTGACTTGTTTTAGTCTCCACTACAGCCAATGAACGTCATCCTCCCAGAATGCATTGCACCAGTAAAACAATAGTGACGTCCTCAGGTGAAAAATGTATAATTTTTTTTAAAGTAATTATTCACATGTGACAACTTCTAGTAGATTAGAAAGATAACATATTAAGGCCAGTATGTGCATCTAGTTGAATATTTATTTAATTAAAGCTGCTCACAAGAAATAAATTGAAATAAGAAACAAGTTTCATAAAGATTAAATATGTTTGGATCAAGCCCCGCTTGATGTTCGGCGGTTGCACCATCAGCGTTACCAAACAGTGTTGTGATGTTCTTCAGCGTCAGCACTGTAAACATCAAGGACCTCTATTCTTAAACCGTTGCACAACCGTCACATGCTGTGGTTGAGGAGGAGCTGCTCTGATCACAACAGGTTCGATTCCTGCGCGTGACTCAGGAAATAATTCATTCGTGCCCTCGTCCCAGCTGCGAGTGTAAACGTCTAAAAGTTCTGCTGTCGGTCTGAGCGGCTTCACGGCGCGTCGCAGCCACGAGCGCTCAGATGTCGCTCCTGTTTTTACCTCGAAGGGACTCCATGACGGGAAGAATGCCGTCCGACCACTGCTGAGCCGCGATGGCCGTGTAGATCCCTGGAAAGTCTCTCTGCCAAATGTGTTGGCCGACGGCCCAGATGGCTGCCAGCTCGGGGTTCGCCTGCGAGCAACAACAGAGAGAGAGAGAGAGGGGGTTAGAGCAGAGCGGACTTTAAGGTTCTGCGACAGCTGCGGTTCCAGTTCTCGTGTTTCTGAGACGAGGAAACGGGTCCAAAGATCCGGACTCTGGCTGCTGTTTGACACGTTTCAAACTGGACGTACAAAAACAAAAGTGAAGGCTGCTGAGGGGTTTGAAAGAGGAAACTAAATTTACTGGGCAAAAAAGATCAAACGGTAAAAAGATTTGTTTCAATATTAGATGTTTTCCTGAGCTACGTGGTCTTAAACAGTCACCATCTTACCTGTTGTAGATATGCGACAGTATTTTTATAAACCTTTACACCACAGTCACAGTAATTCCAGCAGAAATATCATGACGTCCCTGCAGGAAGTGCTACAACTAGTAAATGTTGGCGTCATTTTAAAACGGCGACAATCCACTTTATCAGCGTCTCGATCAGACTAGCCGTTAGCTCATCAGTCCAGCCACAATTAAACTAGTTGTCCAAACTGATCCCATCCAAAGAGCTCATCTACAACAGGTAAGATATTTGTTGTTCTTAACGTCCAAACACAACAGTTTTAACGAGTTAATTTTTGTATGAAGCAGTAAAATTACAGCACGTTGCACTTCCTGTTCAATCACACGTTTAAACAGACTCACGGATTTTATTGCCTGAGGGATCCTCTTCCACAGATACCGGGCGTTGTTCCTGTTGGACCAGAACACGCAGAGATCAGCCCGGTACAGAAACACGAAGACGAATAATTCACAGGCGTGCAGAGAAATCTGACATCAGAGTTAAAAACTCGAGAACGCTGAAAATCAATCAGCAGCCACTGATATTCATTGTTTAACTGTTTAGATTCATTAAGAGATTTTAGTCCTCCGGTACGAGCCACTTTTAAAAACAAACCTGTTGCTGAACCTGGATCTGTTACAGCAGAGGTCCCTGGTGGACCACCGTCCAGCCCGTTCCAACCCAAAAGAACGAGTCACTGACTGAGTTCGTCTGAACTCGACGTTCTGAGAGGTCGATTTAATTATTTGAATCAGGTGTGTTGAAGCAGAGCGGGACTGTGGGTCACAAGGACCAGGGATGGGGAGCTCTGGGCTACAGACTTGTGACAGGGTGGACCCCGGACAGGTTTAAGTCCAGACCCTCCATGTAAACGAACAGAACTTTGATTTTGGGAGAAAACAAAGACCTCAAATTGTTTTCAGGTGGTGACTGTTGTTGTTTACCTTGGCGCCGTGTTCAAATGTTCATTTCTGTAATAAGTTCTGCTGTAATTACTTACTGCAGGATTTAAAGGAAGAAGTCATGTGGCACCATGATGGTGTGCAGGGGAGTGGGCGGAGCTTAAAGCCCCACATCGGACTCTGGTTCAAAAACACACAACAACGTCTATAAAAACGTTTTTGCGGCCTTCAAGACAAGAGAAGACGATCGGCCTATCAATGTGTAACGACGCACGTTAATAAAGATTACGCCCATCCTCTTTACCCACGTTTCCTTTCTAGGGCACGGGGAGCCGGCGTCCGTCTCCAGCAGTCACTGTGAGAGGCGGGGGACATCCTGGACAGGTCTCCCATCCATCACAGGGATACAGGGACAAGCAACCACTCACGCTCGCACGTAGGGACAATTTAGACTTATCGTGTATGGGAGGAAACGGAGCACCCAGAGAAAACGCACAGAACATGTAAACCACACAAAAAGGCCGGGAGTTGATCCTGCGACCTTTGACCTGAGAGGCAACAGCTCTAACCCCTGCCAGCTTACAGAAGCGAATCATTTTTAAGGCCTAAATGATGTTTAGATCATCTGAGGGGTCTCAGCTGCGCAGTCATTTTAATTTGTTCAATGGAAAACACGCTTTGACTCAACAAATAAATAAATAAACAATAATTGTTGCACGATGACGATCGGCTGCACCGATATCTAACGATCAGCACGAATCTAATCAGCTGAGGTTATGTTTTTGGGCTGTGTGCATAAAAAAATTAATCAAACCGTTTATTAACAGCCAACGTTTAACATATGTGAATGAAAGTTTATAATAAAAGCTACTGGATGAACCTGTGCGATATATACTGAGGAGAGAAACAGTTTAAACCCGTTTAATTTAAATGTTTGTTATCGTTTGTTGGAAAACAAATCCTCAGCATCGACACCAGTTATTTGACTCGGTTTTTATTTTTAGATTGTTGCCAGTTGCAGCAGAGACACCTGAGATTTTGTTTGTACAAAATAAACCAATAAATAAACTTACATGTCATTATTGAGTAAGTAGAGAGCCATCAGCTGAGAGTAGACCTGAGGTGTCGCGATGCCCCCTGGAGCCTGTGGACAGCAACACACATCATACAGTACTTAGATTAAACCGAGCAGATTAAAAGTTCATAAATATTACAGATTTAAAGACAGTGTCGTCTGACAACACACAGCTGCACAACAGTTAGCTTCTGCTAGCATTAGCCCCTAACCCTGGCTTTTATAAACAATTGTCTAAACAAACACGTTATTGAAATCATCTTCCGATGCACGATTTGTTTATTAGACACGTTCAGGTCATAAATGTCTGTTATAAACGATCAATAACATAAACTTTAGCTTGTTGCTAGCTAGCTGAGGCTAACTGAGAAGCTAATCTGTTAGCTTGTAGAAATTAAAACATCTAAAAAAAAAAAAAAAGCTAAAAGATCCCACCTTCATTCGTTTATTTTACAGGATTTAAACACGGAGCTGGTTTATTCACATTCATCTTGTTAGTTTAATAGTTTTACACACTTAATGTTCAGGAGTTAAAGCGTCCTGATCAGTTTCTTTACAATAACAGCATTAAAGGTTTCAAACGCCACGAACTCAGGTCGAAAAAACACCAGAAACATGTCAGACACGAGCTCCGCGCACAGAAATAAAACATGTCCCTGCTCACCTCCAGCTCCTGAGCTTCACATTGATCCAATAATTTATCGAAATGTTCCTCCATGGTCACAGCAGCCGGGCATGAAGATGACGCTCTTCCTCCCGGGTTTAAAGGCCGTTAACGGGGGACGGCTCGGCGCGCCGCCGCCCCCTGCCGGCCGCAGCGAGTATTACAACAGCTCTGATGAAAGTCACTGCTGAGACGGCGCGCCGCCGCCCCCTGCCGGCCGCAGCGAGTATTACAACAACTCTGATGAAAGTCACTGCTGAGACTGTTTTAGTTTTATTCTTTTCTAAATGTTTACCTTTGCTTAAAATTAAATTCGACAATAGAAATGCGTTGAATTCGAGTCAATTCCTGAAACACTGCTCGCTTTAAAATCTACTTCGGTTTTATTTGATTTTTGTCTTCCTGTGTTAATGTTAGATTTTAGCTATCATTTGCTGCTTTTAGCTTTTGGCAAGCCTTTTACTACATTTGGCTTTTAGCTACTGTTCTGCTACTTTTAGCAAGGCTTTTAATATTTAAGATACCTTTTTGACACTTATTTGTTTTATATATACTATAAAGTCTTTAATCCTTTATTACATTTGGGTATTAGTTAATCCTCTACTGCTATTAGCTTTTAGCTAGATGTTTGCTACTTTTAACTTCTAGTTAGCCTTTGGATACTTCTTGCTAGCCATCTGGTTCTATAAGGCTTAGCAAGCATTTAGGTACTTTTAGTATCTTGACAACTTTTGAAAAGGTAATATTTTTTATGTCGTTGGGGTCAAAGGTCAGATAGCTCCACCACATCTGCCTCCACCTACACAATAAAATAAATTTGGACACCTGAAGCTGTTAGCATGCATGCACACATCATGGGTCTAAATGTTTAACACGCCGAAGCAGTTCAGTGTTGGTTTGGAAACCATGTTTTTGGGTCGGGCTGCTCTGGTGCCACTTGCTGCTGCAGGGAAGCCTTTGAAAGTCGGTGCTTCATCTGTTCCTCTCCCTCTCCGGTCTTTGCGGTGTCTCTCATCACATTACGAGCCCGAGTCGCTGCACGAAGACACGCCTGGAGGCCTCAGGGCTCCCCACCTGTTCAGGGACGGTGCAGGTGTGGACGTCCTCCAGGAGCTGCTTGAGCAGGTGTTGAAGCCTCTGCAGAGCTGTGGTGGAACCGTCAGCAGCAGCTTACTGTTCTGTGGTTTCCTGATGATTTACAGACGGACTGTGAGCGCTCATCACCGAGCAGCATCTTTATTATACGTCGTGTGAATGTTTATGAAGCTTTCACTTTGTTGTGGTCCATTTTCTTCTGCACATTTTTCACCTTCTTTCTTGTTCCACAATTTTTGTGCTATTTCAACAAATCATAAATCAAAACGTTCAGCTCGTTAATCCTGCTGTGACGTTTGGTTTTGGTGCAACTTTAGCTTTTTGAAATATTTAGCCTTTTCTGCCATTTTTTTCCTCTCATAGAAAATGAATAGAGCTCATTTTACATCTTTCAAAATTTTAGAATTGTTTACAACAAATAGGGATGTTTTTATGCTAATTCAAGCTTTTTCAGCTAATCCCACATTTTTTGCACTCATTTAAACTTTTTTCAGCCTAATTCAGCAAAAAATGTGCTCTCTCCACTTCTTCCTTGTACTTTCAGCTTCTTTTTACTTTTTTTAGCTACCTTTCATTTTTATTTTATTTATTTATATTTTCCAATTTGAAGTTTTTTCAGTTAATTTCCACTTTTGGATATTCTGCTTCTTTCTGCAAACACGTTTTTTCTGCTTCATTCTGCTAATTTAAGCTTGTTCTACCTTTTCAGCTA